TCTTTATTACGCCGTCTCCTTTACAGGAGGTTGGCGACATTATGAACAGGATCCTTCCCTCCTTTTCTCGGCCTGGGACCTGTTCATATACGTTCTTGGCAGATGATCCAGCAGTGGTTTGCCATTGCCTTCTTCTGTGTGTGTGAATGGAGTAATTGTTGGGATGCCATGGAGGAAAACTCCGTGTTGCCTAGACCACGGCCTTGCCCAACACAAGTTATAAATTCGGGCACCGCCGGGAATCGAACCCGAGACCCCAGGATTACAAGGCCAGCGTTCTAACCACTAGACCACCGTGGCGGTCTGTTTTGTGTACAGAATTAAAAAGAAAGACAAGCGAATAACTGAGCTGTCTTCTCTGTCTGTCTGTACGTCCGCGTGTTACATTAGCAGAAACTCAAAGGATATTTATGAAAACGTGTATTTTGAATAAGCACTGAAAGTCCACAGAAGAATTTAATTACAGTTCTGTTGTAGCTGCTCGCAGTTCTTTAGCGCGAATTTCCTGTGCGTATGAAAGAATAAGACTGACGAAGACAAATTATTATCTAAATTAATTAATATTTACTTTTCATTTCTGGGTGAAATTACTGTGGGTAAAATTTACATTTAAAGTGTATCCGTCCAATTAAATTTAATTTAATCATTTTATCAGTTCTTATTTAACTTTAAATAGCCAGCCATTAAATAATTTATCGTCTTTCTCACTTTAAACAAATTCATAAAATATCTAGCTATTTCTAATTTTCTTAACTTATGTACCACTCTAATCAAAATGGCGAAGAATTAAAAACAACTAAAGATGGCAGATGTCAGCACTACATCAATGCTAACCCGAAAAGGGATTGACTTTGGGATGCAAATGTTAAGCATTTCTATTGAAACAGTGACGTAAAAGATATAAATTTTTGACTTACAGATAGGGAGTATTTCGTTAAAGGAATGCATATACAATTTAATATTGAAACAATAGACAGAACACATTAACAGATGAAGAAAGACTTTTAGTGTGACATGTCCCTAATAGATGGAGCGCGTCTCTTTAATCAAACGCCATTAGCGCGTGTAACAAGATGGCAGAGATTCGTTTGTACAAACAATTCGTTTGCTTTGTTAAGTGGTGCTGAAATAAAGGGACGTGTTTCGTGTTAATGTGTTATGTAGCATTCTGTGAATTTTGTTGTGTGATGGTGACAGTACTTTGAAGAAAGTTAATGTTTAGTGCAAACATAAGTTTGTAATTTGAAGCAGTTTCGAGAGTTCACGACGCTATCGAAGACCTTGCACATCACCAGGTAATGACAGTGCTGAAAACAGTCACGCTGCTATCTTTAATCGTTTCTTCTGCACACACCATGCATTATATTTCTTCAAGCTGTTTACAGTATGTTATTATTTTCATTTTATATAGACCTTCAGTTTTTAATTGTTTACCTGTATGAGCTATTAGCGTTAATCTTGAAGCTTGCAAAATAACATTTAAAATTCAGTCCGTACCGCGAAGAAAACACAGCACTTCACCATTACAAAAATGAAGTGGTTGAAGCTGTTTAAGGAGATAATCGCTGTTTACAGTTAGAATCATACGAAAGTCATGAATATAAAATGAAGAGTAGCTTATTGTTAAAGCAGGTGGTACATATAGTTACCACTGGGCTTTGAGGATTTAATCCGATGTATGATTTATTTCCCTATCTGCCAAGGTTTTTTTGTGTTGAACAAATTAGTTTCGTTGTAAATGAATCGTGTTATAGTTTTATTCTTGAAGTGGTTAAAGGTTTAGACAATCAAATACTCCACACTTCATAGGATGTCTACACTGGCATTAAACGTCGATTCAAGAGCAGAGCTGAACTTCCCCGAGGAAATACAATAGCTCATCAGTAAAATTAAGTTAACCATCTCATTGTTTGTGTTAATAAAATCGTAGTTTAAACAAAGTGAATTGTCTGAAACGATCTGTGGTCGTCGTACCACGTAATTCGTGTAATTAAAGTTTCTTATTCTTAATGAAAAATATGTTATACTGTGCCAGAATACAGTTATTATTCCCAAAAAAAGTTACTTTTCGTGAGACAGGGGTGAGGAGGAATTTTTCACAGCCTAGGCAGGCAAGTGGGAACAGGTAGCTGGCTCCAATTTGTCTTGCGTGCAGTTTCGTTCTGGTCGCGCGACGTGACGATCCATTTACCCGGCCATTAGTCGCCTACTGAGCAACGCCGAGCCTCGATTCCCTTGGGGGATCCCCCACGCCACAACAGACGAAACCAGTCGCATTGTGTTACTCCAAAGTAGAGCCGAATATGATGAATGCAAGATCCAAGCCAATGGCTTAAATCGTTTTAAAGCAGATAGAACGTTTTCAAAATGGCATCTTGTTATTTCACTAGTTCTGAATCTACAGGTACTCTCATCATGGTCTACAGAAGCAGCAAAGAGTACTCCAGAGATCAGAAAAAGGCTCTTCAACTACTAACAATCCTCTAATCTCTAGATTCAAAAACCAGTACGTAATATCATCGACGTAATTTGCAACATTAAACAAAGAAACGGTCTTTAATATCAGAAAAAATCAAATTTTAATTAATGGATCACAACTGAATGCCAACATAAGAGATAAATAAATGAATGAAACTTCCAGGGGTTTGGATTTTGCATTGTGTGAACAAATAAGTGTGTCCCGTTTAAAGCGGGAACCATAACAATCGCGTACGCACTACGTAGCACAAATAAAATCAGAAGCAGGTCGTCCACACCCCCCCGTGTAATGGACTCACCCAAACTCATCCGTGACCCTGACCAAGCGACGAAACAGCTGAATACACGGCCGAACCGATTTCAGGCAGTAGAGCTGGAACAATGGGATACGACTGCCAAGAGTTAGTTGTTGCCAAGGGTTTAGACGTTTTGTGCGTTGTAGTACAGGTTAAGTTTTACGTGGAACATTCTGTATGAGTGGACGTCGTGTCCTTGTGTTCGAATGTTGTATACCCTAAAACACTCGGAAATTTTAGGTTAGGTTAGGTATTAAAGGGTCAGTACTAACAGTTGATACCAGAATTTAATTTTGATTCTCGGCATAATAAAACGCTATTAGGCTGCATGAACGTTATCATGTTATAAAAACGGGTCATAGTTAAATGTCAGTATTTTATTTATAAAATATGGACCTCATTAAGATAGGCTACGTAGGTTTTATTCGAAAATTTCTTTATGGACACGAACAAAATTTCCCCAAACTTGTTTTAGTACATCTTATTATGCGATTAGATTTCTAACGCTAGGTTTAAATCTACAGGAAATGAACATCACGTGCAGTAAGTTTTTAAGAATTACAAAGAACGTATAAGGTAATATGTACTCCTGATTGGGGGGTACCTACAGATTTTTAAGAATATTACCATCTGGATCAGAGATTAATACTAAATGAAAAATCCTAAATACGGTAAACTGAAGAAGGGAAAAAAGTCACCTTGACAGTTGAGTCTCGTAGTGATTATAAATGGAAAGGCAGATTTGTCTGAGTAAACGTAACAACAGGTGAATAAGAAAATCAATACGAAGGCTGCCTTGAATGGTATCATCTTGCCCCCCCCCCCCCCATACAACATGGAGCAAGACTGCCGAGACACGCCTATGGAGAAAGATGATGCATTTTGCATCGTTTGTACGTTTTAAAGGAGCTGACAGTCCATAAACTAGTCAAGAAATTCCCCGTCTTTTATGGAACCCCAAGATTCCCTGCGCGTGTCCACAAGAGTCTACCATCGATACCTTTTCTGAGCCAGATAAATCCAATCCAATCCATGCCATCCTATCCTGTTTACTTAATATCTTTCTATGTCTAGGTTTTTCCAGTGGTCTCTTCCCTTCAGCCTTGCCGTCTAAAATGTTATACACATCTGTCATCTCCCCATGCGTGTTGCATGCCCTGCCCACCTCATAGTTCGTGGTTTTATCAACCTATGAATATTTGGTGAACAGAATTACTTATGGAGTTTATCAGAAATCGGTTCTCTTCAACATAACCTGCCACTTCGTCTTGTTAGTTTTTTTTTATTTTACTTTAAAATGGCTGGATGCAAATCCCATGTTCACGCCTACCGTAGGTTTTACAAATGGGGAAAAATTGGTGGTTAAACGTGGTATTAATTATTATTAAATATAAATTTACCGAGAGACACTAAAATTCAGAAAACATGGCCCCTATCTTGCCCAGTGTTTCCTGATATTTGACGAATTTAGTCATGTTAATAAAGTAAAGTTTGTCCCACTATACGCCATGTAGGCGTTTGGGGGGAGAGGAGGTATAGCTCCTCTCTTCTTTGACCTCGGCACTAGATGGGGGGTGAGTGGTCAGCATCACGCCCCGGCCGGCTTTACCCCCGGGAAAGGACCCCGGTACCCATTTTAGAGGAGGCTGGGTGGGTCCCAGAGCCGGTCTGGACGCAGAGGCTAGAGGAAAAATCCTCCGCCCCCGTCGGGGATCGAACCCCGGGTAGAATTACTCGTCTAAAGTTCTGTCTAGCAAGGGAAAGACATGATACACTTCTACATTAAAGAAGTTTCAAATGTGTGTGTCCTGTTTAGAGATTATACTTCGCTAGGATTTCAAAACCCATTCAGTATGCTATTTACTGATAATGATCAAAGTATTATCCGATAATAGGAATGTAATAGGCTTAGTGTGAAGCTGTCCATATTCTACTAATATTCAAATTATTAACACATTTATGATTCTTTAAGGTTTCATTTTCATGATCCGATTGTGTTGGACATTGTCCATTTTTGCTGGTGGCTTAGGGCGGTATCGCACTAGGATGCCAACGGGAGGCCATGGCGCAGCTGCCAGCATCTCGG